AAAAACCAAAAAAAAAAAAAAAAAAAAAAAGGAACCGTTCTAGAATAAAGGAGATTAAAGAGATATAACTAAATGCAACATGTGATACTTGATTATATCCCTTCTTAGGAGGGACTGATTGTAGATTTGAATGTGGACTGTGTAACAGATTATATTGGTATTAAATTCTTGAGTATGATGAATATCGTGGATGTCTCAGAGAATGTTTTTGTTCTTAGGAGATATATGGCAAATACTCATATCTGCCTGCGGCTTACTTACATATAGTTCAGGGAGAAAGTGTGTGTGCAGAGAGAGAGGAAGAGTGTGTGCAGATGTGGTAGAATGTTACTGAAAACCAAGACATATAGTTGCATTTAGTGAAGATTTGTTTGCCAGGCATTTTTCTTTTATAATGCTTGGTGGTGGTGGTTATTGTTTTTCCTGACTATAAAAATAATAGTTACTCACTGCTGATTTTGGAATTTGGAAAATATGAAAAGTATAAATAATATCCTTAATTCTATCAATAGAGATACTTAATTTTAAGTTAAATTGTGATTGGACTGTATAATTTTGTCTCTTCCATTTTTGCTAATATGTTGTAAGTATTTTTTCATATAGTTGAATGAATGTCTTTGGAAACATGATTTTTGAGAACTTCATAATTTTCCTTTATATATTAAACCATGCACTTACTGAACATTTGGAGTTTCACATTTTTTCCTAATCTGGTATGTCTGTAATGAGCATACATTTTCTTAACTTACCTACTTCTCCTTTTTATTTCCCAAAGATATACTTCTTTTAGAGTTTGGGGGACATTGTTATAGTATTTATTTTGTAATGTCGTATATGCTTTATTACCTAGAATTATGATGAGAATTTCAATGAAAATGGAATTGAAGGAGTGAATGTTGACCCAGAGGATACTAACTTTAATCAAGACAATTCCAAAGAACTGGAATATAGTCTCCAAGAAAATGTCATTGTCACAGAGACCATTGAACCATGTGATCAAAAAAGTGAAGCTAAAAGGTAAGTTAAAAGTTGAACACGATTTTCTAATTACTAAATATTGATAGGTAGCTTTTTATATATCAAATAAAATCCCCTTACCCGTGACTCACTAAGTTAGTTATATCTGTGCACATATACAGACCCGAACATATATATATATATATATATACACACACACACGTGTGTAAATAGATGAAGCATGTTGGAAACAGAATGCTAGAGGAATGTACTCACAGACATTTCAGCAACGTGGCCTGAATCAGAAAGAAAGCATTTTGAGCCAGTTTTTCTTTCCTTTACCCTGCTGTGGTGCCTTCTGAGTCCTGGGTCAGTAATTCTTGACATTCACATGAGCACAAGGCTACTGCTGAGTCTGTTTTTATGCCCCACTCCCCTGGAGCACCAATAACCAAATCTCCATGCTCGTGGCAGTCACCCTGTGTTCAGCACCACTGCCTAGTCAGGACACACAGCAGCAGCTGCAGGCCTTCTGCTGGAAGCAGCCCTGGGATCCTGGTGCTGCACAAGACCGTGGTGGAGGGCGAGGGGAAGGTCTCGCACAGGGGAGATAACCAGTCCTTTTTCTCTCCTTCCTCTCCTTGTAGACTTTCTTGTCCCCATCTTCCTTTCTTCCTCTAGAATAGAGAATCATTTCTTATTTCTTGAGGAAACGTTCGAATAGTAAGTGGACTCAGCTTCCTGTCATTATAGGGCCATGAAGGAGAGTTAAAGTGACAGAGTGAAGTGGGAGCATGAGTTAAAGTGCTTACGGCTGGGGCAGTGGAGTGTGCTTAGGACTGTAAGTCATCTGGTGCTGTGAGGGAGGGACATGGATGGGCCCAGGCCTGCAGTAGGGCTCTAGCTGGAGAAAAGGAAGTCAGGGAGCAGCATGAACTGGTGATGCCGAAGCTTTGAAGAACTTTGGAGAGTGGAAGCTTGAAAGGGAAATTAGCATTTGTTTCACTCTAATGCTGGCGTTTGTTCCATTTTACAAATGGGGAAACCGACTTGACCAAGGACAGGAGCTGGTGAGTGGAAAAGCTGGTATTTCAACTTCTGTCTGCCGGCCTACTTGAAGGCACCCAGATTAGCTACACAGGGCCTAAGTATCCTGTGAGGGCCCCTTGGGCTGCTTGGTGGGCATGAGGGGTGGGCCAAGAGGTGGGGCTGTAGGCCCCTGATCCCCTTTTTCATCTAGAGCTAAAATGTTTTCATTTGCTTTCCATGTTACTTCTACATGAAAATTAGGGAGGAAAAGGAGTTACAGACTTGTCAACCACTGACATAGTTCAGCTTTCTCGTTTTATTGATGTGAGAAAAGGATTCAGAGAATTCAAGTGATTTCTTCACTGCTGAGGAATGGCAGGGCTGATATGGACACGTCACCACCCACCCCCATCCCACTCCCACCGGCCTCCTGACATTCAGTGCCTTTCTGCTGCTCCGCTGTAGTGAAGCAGACACTGTGGCTGCCGAGTGGGAAGTGCATTATCAAAAAATGTATGCGTGTATGTGTATGGTGTTCTTAAAAAATAAAGGTCTCAGATGTTACCTTCAAAGATGTGGCTTTCTCACAATATGATATTTTTCACAATATTCCACCAGGAATATTATCCCAAATTTTCTTAAACATATTTCTGGCATATCTGTGATGATATTTTGTAAATTAGTGTTATCCGTTGCCTTTCATGCTATTGCATTCTGTTCTTTATGCTTTCAAAGATGGTAAGTACTTGTATAATGTTATGTTATACTCCGAATGAACATCTTTTAAATGTGTGGACCATTTAACTTAATACAGACCCTTGGTTTCTACTTGTAGAATAGTATGCCCATGAAGTACTTGGAAACATGATCATAACTCATTCACTATAACCCATCCTATCTGTTCTGTAAATGTAACTGCACCCAGATTTTTATGCTAACAATTTGGTTAGCATAAATTAGGGAAAGTATAAAATAACTAAGGAAAATTAAAATTCATATAGGAGCTTAATTGGAGGAATGCTCATAGCTTAAGCAGAATAGGAAGAACCTGACTACACTGGCAGGAAACTTCTGGTTTAAAGGGTTCAAGGGGGGAAACTCACCAGCTCAGCATAATGGACATAATTTTAATAGAAGTAAATTCCCTACGTTGAGTAAATTTAACTTTATGAGAAATTCATTACAAGATCTTTGTTTTTCTCATTTTGCCGTTGAAATGTTTGTCACAGACTGGATTAGATTCAAGAAGTTAATGTTTTGGGGGAACCACACTTAATGTCATGTATTGTTTGTGATTACTGTTGGTTGGTTCTGAAAATGGAGTGCTTCAATAAATAGAGTATTAAATGCTTTGCCTTTTATAAAAACACTGTAGAAAAGTTCAGAGATATTTTAGGGGTCCTGTTTTGGCTTTCGTTTCAACTATTTTAAGTAAATTCCTTTATATTTGTGCCAAATTTTGTATCTAATTTGATCTTTAAAGCTGTTCATTTGACATGTGAAGATTAATTAAATTAGCCATTAAAATTAACGAATTAGCCTTTAAAGTACTTTTCATGCTTTTGAGTGTTCTTGAGACCAAGATGACAGTTAAAAGAGGTACATTATTTTTGGAGTATACAGCATTCTTTAATTTATTTTCCAGTGTTCCTAAACCTAAAGGAAAGAAAACCAAAGATATGAAAAAATCTGTCAAAGTACCTACTGAACCACAACCAATGGTAGGAAAATCATATTCACATCTTTTCAGTGGACCTTGTTGGTTAAGCAGTATAATGCTCTAAAGATGTAAATGTGTGTTTGGTGAGCCCTTTCCCATATAGAACCTGCAAAGTTATGGATCTGTCAAGTTTTACTTGATGAATGTAGAATTTATATATATACTATTTTTTTTCCCCTTTAAAGTGAAAAGAAGCACATTGGAAATACTAGATTGTACTAGAACAGTTACTATTCTGTTTTCCATTACTTAGCAATCTAAGGCCTTGGTGATAAGAATTACATGTGTCAAGTTCTGAAGATTAATTTTGAAGCAAAAACTATTCCTGTTCTAGTCCATGTGGTACATGCTCCTGAAAGTCTCAGGACCCTTAAAGTTGATGGTGTTGGTTAATGAGATTTAACTTCCAAGAACACTTGCCTTTGTCAAATCTGTTTTGGTAGCTGTTCATTTTGTTAAAACATCTTTATTTTGCAATTGTTTGGTGTTTGATCTTGACATTAAAACAAAACATTATACTCAGATGCTAACACTTGCTATTGTTTATGATTATTTTTTCCCTTTCTCAGACCGATGTTCTTATCAGCTGTACAACCTGCCATAGTGAATTTCCCTCCAGGAATAAACTTTTTGACCATCTAAAGGCCACTGGTCATGCAAGAGCACCTTCATCGTCATCTTTAGACAGTATAACAAGCAGTCGGAGCAAGAAAGAGAGACGTAAAAACAGATAGAAATTCTGACAACACTTTTTTGTTGATTGTCTCTAGATTTTGAAACCAAAAACTGAACTGAAATCATCTAAAGAGTTAAAATTTCAGTGATCAGCAACTTATTGCATTGTGGAAGATTATTTTTTATCTTGTAAAAACATTTTTTTTGTTTAATATATATTTTTAAACGTTTCACTAGTGGTTGAATTCTACTTTTGCCATCTGAATTGACTTGAATGTCTCAGAACAGGTAAATATTGTAAAGTGTGTATTCTTAATTTCTATTGGCTTATATGGATAGAAATGTACAGGGAGAATTAAATTATTTTAACACATACAAGTGTCCCTTTCTGCTTTATTTTGTGAATTTTACAATGCTTTTGTATTTTGTTTTGATTCATAATCTGTCAAAACTGATTTTTACAAATCATCATAGAATTTTTTTCACCTGACACCATGACTCCAGTTCTGTTTTAAAATTATTCTTAAATAACCAATTATTGTTCAATGTATTTTTTTTTTTCCCTCAAGGACAGCGATAGGTAGAAACTAATTGAACATATATGGTTGTGTTTTAAGAATAATATCTCTCTAAGGTTTAACTATGTTGATTTAATTGGATATTTTACTGGTAATTATCAATAAGATACATCTTTTGGTTTTTCACTCTGATTTGAATTGTGGAGTGCACCACCCAATTAATTGACATGGTGCTTCTTCCCTAGGCATGGTGACAGCTGTAAAGTATGATGGATCAAGGTAGCAGATGGCTCAGAATTTCTACTAACTCTTTAACAAAGGTGTTTTTTATTGGGTTTATTTCTTCACTATTTTCAGAAGTTTTTCTGCTTTTTTCCAGCATCCAATGGAGAAAAACTTTCTTAATGAAAGATTTTTGGGGAGGGCTGGTACTTATGCCATCTATTCCATAGCAACAATGAGTATTAAATCAAAAGAAATATGGAGAATCATTATAACTTGCTGGAGTCCAGCTCTGCAGGATTCATTGGACCTGAATAGGTGGTGTGGATTTGGTGAAAAAAGAAAGACACGGACCACAGATGTCTAGTGCAAGTGTGGACAACAACCACATGAATTTTGCTTTATTTATATTTTTTTACTTAATCCTCTACATAATGATTTATTTTTAATCAAAACATTTTTTATTTCATTTCTATTGAAAAGGAAAGGTCAAAATGTTCCAAAGCACTCATGCTCTGACAAAAACATCTACTCATTCATCAGTAGTTCACCCCAAAGCCTGTGGCTTGTGGCCAGGAAACTATACAATAGCAACATGCTTGGCTTTAAAACTTCAGACTTTCAGTCTGAATCATAAACCTTAAATTAACCTTCTTAGCTTACAATTTAACCCCTTTTTAATCTTACTTATAATTACTACTATTAATTTTTATAACATTGATTAGTTATGGTTAACAATTTAATATTGCTTATACTCTATATTGATCATTTTAATTTATAATCAAAATAACAATGTTTATAACATGAATATTATAAAATTTAACTATAAATCTATTAAATTTCTATGTTATTGTTACAAATTTTGTTACAAACTGATTTAAACAAAACCTGTTAGTATCAAAATTTGTGTTTCTCTACTATCTAACTTATTTATCATATAACGAAACCTTTTATTTCCAATATTGCCAATAAACTCCAGGAACAGCACAGGGGACAAAGTGAAAAGTTAAATGACCCTTCCTAAATTTGTTAAAATACACTGTGTCATTCCAATCTTGGAATGATATGTTCTTGGTGAGTCAAGTGAAGCAGTGGGAACAAAGAAATCAGTAACTGGTTGTGATCAATTAGTTGTAAACACCACTGCACTCAGAACCACTGTCTCCCTAGGAGATGTGGATAGAAATTTTAACACAATAACTTCATTCCACACGCACAAGAGCATGATCACAACTATAGGGCTAGTTATTCTAAAATTATGGGTCAATGCATACACCACTAACAGGAAAAATCAACAACAAAATTAAATCAAGCCAACCCATACTGGGAACATGCATCAAAAACACCCTTAATACTGACAATGCCTTTTAAATAAACCAATTAATTTTGATATATTATTAACATGTTCTTTGAGAAACTCCAGGGCCCACGGAATCCCCCAAAGCCATACCAAGCCAAAAGGTTAGGCTGTTTAATTCTGGGAAGCCTTGTCAAGCAACCAAAGGTGAACAAACAGGAAATTCCATGGAGCCGTGTTACACACACGGGACCCCCTTGCAGCCCTGTTGAACAAGGGGTATCGCTCCTCAGGCTCAATTCTGGGAAGCCTTGTCAAGCAACCAAAGGTGAACAAACAGGAAATTCCATGGAGCTGTGTTACACACACGGGACCCCCTTGCAGCCCTGTTGAACAAGGGGTATCGCTCCATGCTGTTCCCTGTAGCAGGATGGCTCTCAACAATAAGTGCGATCAAGTACATTGATCATTGTTCGGTGATGAGTCAATTTTAGGATGAATTAAAAAGGCAATTCTTTTAATTGGTCTTAAAAGTACCTTTAAACTCACCAGCTTGAAATGTATACTTTCTGTTCAGTGAAGTTATTTCTATCCTTATATCCTTGAATCTTCAAGTGAACAAATCTTCAGTTATATATGAGCTCTAAAACACTAGAGTCCCTAATGGCGAGGTCTTTTCTGATAGCCCCATAGATAGTATTGATGATGTAGATCTGTGTTATTGACTTAAAAATATGCATTTGAACTTTAAATTTTTTTCTTTTCCATTTAGAGATGTAAATTTTACCTTTGCACCTTCCTATTTATTACTAAGTTCTATACTACTTTTTGAAAATTGTTCTTTTTCCCCCACTCTCTTGATCGCTCCAGGGAGAATAATAGCCAGTTTTGTATCTCCTGATCTCTTTTTCCCAGCTTTCCTCTGAATACTCTCCCTTTCTCTAATCTGACCTTTATGAATTGTCCATAATTATGAATAGGAATTTTAATGAACAGGAGGACATATTAGTCACATGTAATTGTACAATAAAAAGTATGAAGTCATCTTGAAGGGCAGAGAATGTCATACAGATGTCGTTCAGACCTTTGCCTTCCCTTGTACTGACCATGCAGGTATTTGTTTTGCTTCATGTGAGCATTGAGTGGAGTTACTTGTCACTGTTACTCAGATTAACAAAAATCAACCATAATTGTCAAGGGATCTTCATCAGTTGTGATTGGAAGTCAGGAGATCTTGTTTCTAATCCTGTGTGATGAGAAGTCATCTAACTTTTCAGAACTTCATTTTTCTTATCTCTAACACACTTCTTAGTGTGATAGTATTGTCTCATTTATCATATGGGATCGTTATGAAGGTTGAATAAAATAGTATATATGAAAGTGCTTTTTAAACAAAAGCTTTATACAAAATATTGTTGAATTTAAATGGATTGAATCTTTTTCAGCTGAAATATTTGCAGACAGAGGTACATGTTGAATTAAATGTGCATTGTTTTATAGGAATTTGCTTTCTAAATCTACTTCTGAAGAGGAAAACAGAACCATATCACTCGTATTATGCCAAGGGTAAAATACCATTTTATGGTGAGTCACAGGACATTTAATTTCATTTGTTTGAGGCCAAACTATAGTCTAAAATACATGAACCCAAATTTTACATTGGTCTCATTAAAGGTCAGTGGTAACTACCTGCCTTGATTGAAGTTAGCTCAGGTGTGGAGATACATAGAATGAAGGTTTTGGGAGGAGAGGTTAGGGGAAATCTCATTTCCTTTCTGTAATTTATTCAATGGTGCCAGAGCTGGTGGTCCTCTATAAAGCCATTTAGACTTTCCCTATTTCAAAATAGGAGCAGTATCCTTTGCTTCTAAGCAGTAGCTTTAGCTTTTTCTCCTTTGTGTCTGAAAGGAGAAAATGCAGAACTATGAATGAATTAGTTGAAGATCAGTCACATCAGAGTTCATGTCCTATTGATTGCTGGAGAGGCAATATTGGTATTTTAGTATCATGAGAAGACTTACCAGAAGGATTTTATGAGAAGTTTTTATTTTCTCTAAATCCTGCTGCACAGAATTTCCAGATTGGAAACTACCCTAGTATTTGTAGAAGATTGTCCCTGAAATTATTTAACTCATACAGGAAATAAAATTCTTACAGTAAACTATAGTGTCATTTTAGAGTACCTCAAAACCCTGAGCATGCTCTGTGTTATAGTTATGATTCTAGCCTAACCTTCAATGTAAAATAAGTAGTACCTACCTTTTAACCCTTATAAATTCCTAAACGTATTATTACTTGTGTGGTGCAAGTTTTGTTTCCCATAATCTGCAGTGGTGAAGAATTTCTACTCAATATAATTAGCTTATCCTTATCTGTTGTTTGTTTTATATCTTTATACTAAAATTAAAGGCTCTCGGCATTGAAGAGGGAAAGTAGAGATAATTGTCTGATCTTTTGTTTCAGAGAAGAGGAAGCTGAGCTCAGAGATTAGAGCTTCACAGTCTTAGCTGGTTAGGGGCTGCTGCCATTATAAGAACAGGGCAGTTTCCTGGATTCCCAACTCAGTAGTCCTTCTGCTACACTCCAAGATTTGTTACATGGGGGAAAAAATTGCTTTTAAGGAGAATCAAGATGATGAGAGCAAGAGGGAGAGGCTTGGACTTGTCCTATCAGTATCAAAGAATATTATAAAGCTATAAAAGTTAAAGCAATGTTTGGTTGGTGCCAAATATAGGTCAGGCAGCAGGTACCTGTGAGCATCAAGAGCCCCAAAACAGGCCCAGGCATACACGGACACTTGATCTTTGCTGGAGTGTGGCAATCTATCTTTATGATGAAAACAATATGTACTACCTTACAACTTTCCCCCAAAGTAAATTACATGGATTGAAGACCTAAATATGAAAAGCAAAACTTTCAAATGAGGATCTATAAGATTATCTTCATGATTTTGCAAAAGGGAAGGATTTCTTTAAAACAAAACACAAAAGCACAATACTTATAGGAAAATAAGACTGTGTCAAAATTAAGACTTCTTCCTTACCTGCCAGCCACCAAAAAAAAAAAAAAGACATCTTCCTGTAGAACAATAGACATCCTAAGTAAAAAAGACAGGCTACAGACAGGGAGAAAATGTTTGCAGTACATCTACTGACAAAGGATTAGTGACTAGAATACATTAAAAAACAAAGTACCCCCTACAAAATCAATGAGAAAGTGACAGCTGTGCATTAGAATAGCAGTTCTCAAACTTTCTGGTCTCAAGACCCCTTTATGCTCTTAAAATTGAGAACTCCAAAGAGTTTTTGTGTATGTGGGTTATATCTGTTGATATTTAC